CCTGCAAGTCCATGAAAAGAAGGCAAAAGATGAATTAATCCAGATTTCAGTTCGAATTGTACATTAGCATCCAGAGCGGGAAAATTGATGCATAAAGGTTGCTGAGCTAAATTTGGAGCTCCAAGCTCTTTTAAAGTCTGGTTTTGAGCCATGGGTTCCTCTTCTAAATCAGAATTGGTACAACTGGTAGCCAGATCACTAAACTCCAATTTTCTCAAAGCTTGTTTCTTCCACCTGCGTATAGTTCTTTCAATTTCTGGATAGTACGACAAGATTTTTTTTATTAGCAGATCGAGTTATAGGCATAAGAAAAAAAGAAATATATTGCAGCATTTATGTAAAAGTAACGAAAGAAAAGATTTTTTTAAATGTTTTTTTTGGGACAAATGAAAAACAAATAAAGAAATAAATAAATAAATAAACACAAAATAAGCTAGAAAATCTCCTCAGCAACGGCGCCAAAATTTGGTGAGCTGTCGTAGGCTCCCAAATTAAAACCTTACAAACGTAGTAGCGGGAGTAAGGATCGATCCCACGAGGAGTAACTAGTTTAATGTATGTGTTCAAATTAAAGTAAAGGGGGTTTTGGTATGAAGGTGATAATCAAAGAAAATAAACGAATGAAGCAATTAAAACAATATATTGAAAACACTCAGAATAGAAAATCTTGGTTAGTAAAGATCCACCACCGGAATATAACACTGATCATTGATTCATAAAGCAATTAATATGCAATTGAATATTTATCGTGAAATTATTTCATTTCCGTTTTCCCTTAGTTGTAGGTAACTAAAGCACACGCGGTTTAATTACCCCTAACTACTAAATAACCTAAGACAAGCGCTATAGATTTAATTTAATAGCAGCAATAGGAACTAGGAAAACCGACAAACTAAATAACACAAGCACAAGCGATTGCATTTAATTTAGGAAAATATTCTTCCTGAAATCAATTATCACTAAGCCGTCAATAATTAACCTCAGTTGCTACTGAATATTAGAATAATTTGTAGCACAACATTATCTAATATAGCAAAGAATTATATCAAATAGGTTAGAAGAATATTTAATACCCAAATGCATAAAAATTATATAATAAAATAAATAAATAATCTTACAGCATAATCAATTCCGGGGCTTCAATTCACTAAACCAAGCTAAAGAAATTAGCAATGAATGGACATTAATAACAGCTTTACAGAATAATTGAGAGGGGAAGAATGAACATTTTACAATAGGAAACTTCTACTATTTATAGTATTTTTAAAATAGACTCAATTAACCTCTACCACCTATTTTCCTACTTTTGTGCCTCACGTCCTGAAGTCGACATTGTTCCGTTAATTTTGTTCTCCGTAATTATTTGCGCTGAAGTTGACGTTTTCCGCTGCTACACGAACCTGTACGAAGAAAAGAAGCAAAGCAATAATGTTAATAATAAAAGTCCTTCATCATATTTTGTTTCTTTTGTCTTAGGGTAAGAATTGGACCAAAATAATATTAAAATAATATATGTATATACAATGCATATATATATGTATAAACTAGTACGGTACGTAGTAATGTAGTATGTATTCTTATATATTATATATAAAAAGAATTAATTATAAGATAATATTAAATAACTAATGCAAAATTATTATAAAGATGTACCTAAAATATGAGTGTAAAATATGCCTATCAGTAGGTTTCCACATTGATTGCAATGAAGAGGAGTTTGGACTGGCATGCATGATGTGTCGCTTTGGTGTCAGGAAGCCAATTTTGAGAAAACGGAGCGGTGACTAGATCATCTGCATAGTCAGATTTGCCTGAGGAATGGGAGTACCTGAGTATCTCTGGTAACACTATAGAGTAGTATGCATGGCCAAGATTGCTGCAGATCTCACACTTTGGAACATAACCCCGCCCGCGTCCACGACCTCGAATTCCTTCATTTCCATGTCCACGACCACAATGCTAAGTAAATTTTGTTGTTGCAGAGAGACAGTGGTTGGTCCTCGTTATGCAACAAGTACTGATGGTTGGGCTGGAGGAGCAACTAACGAGACATCATCGGCATATATAAACTGATGTGCAGTGAGGTATTCATTGAATTGATCTATGGTGACAGGTTCCTTGGTAGTCAATGATGAAACCATTGCGCGATACTAAGTTCGGACGCTCTTGAACATATATATATTTTGTTCATCTAATCCAATTGGTCGGCTAGATTCGACAAGTAGTCTAATTAAAACCTTGGCTTTGCCAATATACTCACTCGTTGTGAAGTCTCCCTTGCCCAAAGACTGTAGTCGATTGAGGAGACTCAAAGAATGTGTCCAAGAGGAGGACCCAAAGGCAACTTCAATAGCTAACCACAGTGCTTGGGACGTGGTATGGCGCACTGCAATGTAGATAACCTCATCGGATAGAGACGAGATGAGCATGGACAAAATATATGCATCATGACGTACCCAATTTTGAGCAGCAGGATTGGCTATTACAAAAGATCCATCCGAATACTTAATAAAAGAAGCTAGACATGGAAATGTGCCATCTACATAACCACTGAGATTTTGCCCGCAAAGAAAATGAACGAGATGGGTCTTCCAGAATAAATAATTAGATGATGTAAGTTTTATGGATACAAAGTGATGGGTATCTCTAGGGTATTTATGGATGGTGGAGGGTGAAGGATATATCGGAGAGGGTATGAGAAGAGGACACTGAGTCACCGGTGGTTGGTGCCTTGGTGGCAGCGCAGTGTCATTGGCGGTGGCGGTTGGGTTGGCATTCATGGATCTTTTAGGTTTGCTGATGCCAGATGAAAACAATATATCTGAGAAGAATAATAATTCTAGAAAAATAAATGTTATTGAATACTTGAATTGTACAATATACATAAATGGACTATTATTTATATTTTATAGGGATATAAGAGCAACATTATCAATTGGGGAGAATGTGGGGAGAATAGGAACGAGAATGTGGGAGGGGAGAGAAAAAAAAAACAAAACCGATTTTAAAATAAATAAAATATATATATATAATAATGATAGCCAGGCGCGCCCTCTGGGTGCACTCATGACAGCCACGATTGACTGTCACGTTTGATTCCTTTTTTGCTAGGTCCCACCATGCTGCCATTCTCCCCATCTTTGCGGAAGCTTTCCAAATTTCTCTCTCCACTCTATCTCTCATCCATCCATGTAAGCATTAAATATAATAAAAGTAATGCATTCTCCCCACTTACTCCCAATCATTATTGTGTGGACCATGGTCCACACAAGTTGTGAGGACCATATTTTGTCTACTGTAAAATAATGTACACTCAATACAAAAATAATGTACATTCAGTACAAAAATAATGTACATTGTATTAAGGGGATGTACATTATTTTTGTTCTGAGTGTACATTATATTGTATAATGTACATTCAGTACAAAAATAATGTACATTTAGTATATTAAAAATGTACTTTTTGTTATGGTCCACATAACATTGTGTGGACCATGGTCCACACAACAATTTGCCACTTGCTCCCCTGTGTGGTTGCTCTAAGAGCATCCTTATCAGTTGGAATTTTTTAGGAGTTATTTGTGGGCCCCATCATCCCCCTCATTCTCCACTATCTCACTCAATCACAAATAACTCTTTTCCACATCAGTTTTAAATTTTTTTCTCAGTTTTTTGTGGACTCCACCATTTAACCCACTATATTTTAATTATTTATTTATCTATTTTATTTATAAATTTATATTTTATTTCTTTATCTATTTTACCCCAACATGCATACTGGAAATGTGCAAAATATGCAAACTGGAATTGTTAAAACAAAATAAAATAAAAAGATAATTAAATTTAATTACTTAAAATAAATTAAAGTACATAAAAATTAAAATATAAAGCGGTTAAAAATAAATTAAAGTACATAAAAATTAAAATACAAAGCGGTTAAAAATAAATTAAAATACATAAAAATTAAAATACAAAGCGGTTAAATTAGTTACCGTTGTAATTGCTCCATATATGCTCAACCAAAATTTAATTCAAAAAATATTAAATTTGGTATTTTATAAAAAAAATTAAAACAATAAAAATAAACAAATTAAAAAAATGGAAACGAAAAGAAGTGAAACAAAACGAAATGGAAACAATGAATTAAACAAACAGAAAAGAAAAAAATAAAAAATAAAAAATTAATTAAAGACTGAGAGTCGCCCAGCCGGGCACGTGTCGCACACGCGCCCCGTTGGGTGGTCAGTGAGACGCAACTCTACGTCTCACTACTTTGTTTATTTATTTATTTATTTTTAATTTCTGACATTATGCCTTAATTTGCAGGAGAAATATTTTTGAATTAACCCCACCTCAAATCAGCTATTAACTCTGGTTAAAAAAAATTTATGTAGAAATAACCCCATATTATTCACTAGTGTGGATGCTTTAAAGAGTTTTAGTCATACTAGAAATAATACAATGAATATACAAAGTGAAAAATTTTAATGTGACTAGAAGATAGAGTCCTAATAGGTATTACAATTGCACGCTAGTCCCAACCCAGGAAGGCTGCGCTGAACCGTAACAGATGAAAAGAAAACACAACAAAAGTTAAGGGAGAAACAAACAAAATACACAAAAAACAAAGACCTACAAAAGCAAAAGTGGCCAATAGTCTTGGCAAAACAAGAGACAGAGAATCTCTGACCTATTCTTGCTTGGACAGAATTGAATCAACCATGAAAAAAATGAGAACAAGATGAGAGACTGGCAACCTCCCATTAACAACCCATTGCCAAAAGGACTACATCCATGTCCTGCAAGGTTACCTCGGTTGATCCAACCGATCACCTTAAAGTCTTGTTCCAGGCTTCCAGCAATAATATGAAGAACTTGAAGTTATTGGAAAACTACCCATGTACAGGGGAATCAATTTATAGAATACTTTTAACCTTTTAAATCCAAAAATTTGGGAACACTTGCATGATTATAAAGATGGTTACCAACAAAACGGAAAATAATAATTGATATTCCAACACACTTCCATTGAAATTGATCAAACACAAATACAGAAACAGAGACAACAATGCCAAAAGACACAGCATCATTCCTCTATGTACACTGTCGTTGCAGTACTAGAAACTAAAAAACTCACCCCTAAATTTCTTCTTCTTTTTTTGTTTTTTGTTTTTGCACATAAAAAGAAGAAGAATATAATGAAGAAGAAACGCTAACTAACTAACACTTCTCTTCACCATTCCCATTCATCACCGTCTCCATTTCTACAGCAGATTTATTCTTCCTGGGCTTAAACCAGATCGAGCAAATCAGGTACACAACAAAGTTAATCACTCCCAGACCAGCCAAAAGCCAGTAGAACAAATCCAGGCGTCCGTAGTTGATGTTATCTGCCAGCCAGTCCTGGCCGCCATGGCTAGCTGACGTCACCTTCTTGACAACAGATACCAGGAAGCTGCTGACGAAGAAACCGAGGGAAAGGGTGGTCAAGAAGAGGCCTGTGCTCATGGTTTTCATGCTCTTTGGGGATTGGGTGAGGAAGAAATCGAGCTGGCCGGTGTACATGAAGGCTTCCCCAGATCCGACCAGGAAGAACTGTGGGATTAGGTAAAACACACTCATGGTTAAGGTTGAGTTGTGTCGGCCCTCCGAATTTGCAGCTGCTAACCTCTTCTTCTCTATTAGGGCTGATACTGCCATTCCTACTGTTGACAGAACAAGGCCTAGTGCAATTCTTTGCAAGTTGGTGAAGCCTGCATGCATGGTGGAGAAACTTCTTTAGTATATAGGACTATGAAAAACCTTTTACTAAATGTTTTTTTGAGTGACTGAGTAAAACCCACAGTTACTATCCATAGCTAGCAAAAGACAACTAGCCTAAATTGTTTATAGTGGACCAGTTCAAACCGAGAAGGTTAATAGACCGTTCAAGAAATTAAAGTTGTAACTGTGTAGTTATTAAGTCAACAATCTGACCAATTTGTCTGAAAATGCCACGAACTTTACTAAGTGTTTTTGAAACTATTAGTTTAAACATTTAGTTGAGGCTTATGAGTCAATGGATGGGATACCTGGGGTTCCTTTCCATTTCTTCCAAAGGGGCATGACGATGCGATCGTAGAGAGCCAAGGTGATGAGAATGGCAGCTACGAAGAAGACGGTGAGGGAGCCTGCCGGAATCTTGAAACTCCCCATTGATCTGTCCATGGTGGTGGCTTGGATGACTGAATATGTGATCATTTGAGCATAGGTTGTCCAGAAGATTATGGTTGTGGCCCAGATTGGGAGTAGTCTAGCCATCATTTTCACTTCCTCCACCCTTGTCACTGGGCTTAGCTTCCATGGATTTGGGGATGATGAACCACCGTTGATATTCTCCTCAAAATCCCCTTCTGCAACTATTGCAGCCTTGTCCAAACACCTACATATCATTGTACACAACTTCAATTTAGTACTTACAAAACAGGTAAATATCCAGCCTTGTGACTTTAGCTAGTACGGTCAAAGCGACCCCACCACGGGCCTAATTTCTAGCGGGCTTTTGCATATCAGCTCGCCAGGCCCACATACCTGGCGAGTTAACCTGCGTGTGCTGTGAGTCTTAGTGGGCTAGGCCCGCTGTTTCGCGAACCCTCCTTTTTCTGGCCCTAACCCGTCCCAGTGCAGGGTGGGTGCGGGCCAGCCTACGGCTTTGACGTACTTTGACAGCTCTAACTCTAGTCAGCAAAACACCAAAAGATAAAGCAGCATGGCTCAAATCAAGAAAGGTAATAAGCGGCTCTTGATGAGAATCGAACTTGTAACCTTGTAGTTATCAAGTCTAACAGCCTACGAACTTGGCGAGTATATGAATGGTTTGGTTCAAACAGAACTATGGTCATGCCTAGTAAATAAGTGTAATTTATGTACCAAAAAACATTACTTTTGCAAGGAATCTAGCAAGTGTACTATGTGTATAAACTTACAGGAATTGATCAGTGTGATGAATTCTTGAAGGCTCGGGAGTGGTCTCATATAGCATGCCAACATCATAGGGGAGGTCCAGATTCCTCTTCCTAACAGCACCAACAATGACCTGAAATATGTGGACAATCGGACTTCCCGAGCTTTTCTTGTACCTATACCTCGTAGTCCCCGACAAGAACACAACAATGGCGACAACCATGGCAATGGAGCAAATCCCATACCCCAAACTTCTCCCAACTTCATCTTGGATGTACACCAGCACTGTGACAGCAGTGAGAGTTCCTATGCTGATGAAGAAGAAGAACCTGTTGAAGAAATACGCCATTTGTGCCTTTTCTTTCTCGTCTTTGTCGTCGAATTGGTCGGTCCCGAAGCCGGAGACGCTCGACTTCAGGCCGCCGGTGCCCAAGGCTATGAGGTAGAGGGCTAGGTATAGAATCCCCATTTGAAAACCATTGGCTTCTTGGCAAGCTTGGTGAGGATTGCATGGTGATGGCCTTAGTTGTGGGAGTTTTGTTGCTAATGCTAAAGTGCCAGTCCCCTAATTCACCAAATGTTAACAAAACAATTTTAATGGTGATATCGAGCATATAATATATAAAACATAAATATACAGGTGGAACCAGATAAAAAGATATGGGTTTAAATCAATGTACATAAATATCTAATTACAGTTTCATTATCAGTTAAAACTTTTAGTTAAACCAGATACTACATGACAAAAAGGTATTGGATTTGAATTGTTAATTGAGACAACCAGACAAAAAGTTTTGGATTTGAATCAACACATAAATGCGTAATTACATTTTATGATCAATTTAAACTTTTAGTTAATCAAACACTACCTGACAAAAGTTTGCGTTTGAATTGTTAATTGAGAATGATGCAGAACATATCAAAAAGTTATGAGTTTAAGTCAACATATAAATGTGTAATTTTACTATCAGCTTAAACAGTTTGTTAACTCGATAAGGTAATAGATTCTTAAAGTGCAAAAACCTTGAAACAAGAATTGAAGCATACCAGCATTTGTACAGCGGAAAAGATTGCAATGGTTTTGAATCTTCCGAGGAAAGAATCAGCAAGAAAACCTCCAAGCAAGCACAGAAGAAAGGAAGTGCCCATGAAGTCAGACACAATGTTGGCTGAGGTTGAACTAGGAAGATGCATAGTCCCACCCAAGTATGTCACAAGATTCACAGCTATTCCCATGGTGGAAAGCCTCTCCACAATTTCAATTCCTATAAAAATTTAGAAATGTTACACTCTACTCGATTATATTAGTTTTTTTGTTTTTTGAAGACATTATATTAGCATATGATTATGAATTAATAATCAATACCATTAATTCAAAAATAAAATTCTAATTATTTATTTTATTTTATTTTATTTTTTTGTGTAACCAAAGGTTTCGTTAATCACTCAAGTAGAATTACCGAGATTAATTATGTTCGTATTAAGTAGAATCTCATAGGATAAAAAAATACTTTCTTATAAGTTTTATAGGTTTCTTCTATCCCTAAATTAATAGAGGTTTAATCATGAGGTAGCCCCAATTGAATTGTTCGAGCAGAGCAAATGATTTGGTAGCCATAAGATTCCTAACTTAGTTTCCGAAAAGAACTGTCTAATTAGCTTTTCAATTTTAGTTGACCAATTATGACAACTTAAGTCTGATAGAGCATTTGGGAGGATGTAAATCACGGTGACTCAATAACTTAGTAGACAGTGTCAAATGCCGGTACACACAAGGGATTAGTCCACTTTGAACATAATCTCCACACTGCCACTGTCGACGTTTGAACCTTAATTAGTCTCTTTCTCAAATACTGCCTATTAAACGATTGAACTAAGCCCGTGCAGACTATGACAACTTAAGCTAGTGCGGGCTACGGGCTTTCTCTTAAATAAAATAGCAATTTTTTTTTTTTTTTTTGAAAGGAATAGCGACTTAGTCATGAGAAAACAAATTCCTAAATATCACAATTGTGACATTTAAATTGATCATGTAACCTCCGTTTGTTACTAGACCAAAAGTTCACCGTTATGGAAAGTAAAAGTTCATGGCTTCAAAAGATTAATTATTGAAGCATGATTAATTAGGCTTTAATAAATGGTTATGGAAAGTAAAAGTTCATGGCTTCAAAAGATTAATTATTGAAGCATGATTTATTAGGCTTTAATAAATGGTGACCGCTTTTGGTGCTTGGAAAGTTTTAACTTAATTTAATATGGAAAGCCTAAAGTGCATGAAAGTTTTATTCACATTTATCATAGTGGAGCTTTATGTATGTAGATGGCTTTTAAACAAGACAAAAAATGGTATACCAAATTATATCAATCATATACTATTGATATCGCTGCCGATAATACATTATGTAACATTATCATGTAACAAAAGAAAATAATATATTTAATTTACCCATGTTATTGATCGATTAATTGACATTAGTATTGATCGGTACCATAGAATCACTTTTTTTTATTTTAATCACTAATCATTAATTTATCACTATTAGACATGATTTGTCTGCTCGAGATTAATTACTCATATTAATTCAAGAATTTATTTTTAAAATAAAATGAAAAAACTTTAAAAATTAAATAAACACAAATAATTTCTTTGAAAATACATATATTTTAATCTTAAATTTAAGAATTTTTTTCAGACAAATTATACAGGAGATAAATCGCGAAATGTGATTATTTTGAATAGACTAGTGCATAGGATTTAGGAATTCCAATAAATCAAACAATATTCTCTCTAATTTATGTTCTGTCAAAATGAGTGACACATGCATGATACCATTATCAGAATGATGGAAGACATTTGCTTTAGTGGTCCTACCTGTAATAGTATAAGCATATTCTCCATTCCTAACATTAGGGAAAGATAACTACTAGTACTAGATTAAACTAGCTAGATTACATTATTTCATGACATCCTTTAATTTGAAATTATTGTTACTTTAAAAAAAAAATCTTGTAAAAGATATAAATTAAATTATATAAAAAAAAAGGTGAAATCAAATATTCTTATTGAGCACTATAACTGTGACTCTTTCAAATAGAAGATTACAGGTTTAAACTCAAAATAACTTAATAATTTTACTATTTTCTATCTGTCACCTATCTCTGATTTTGCATGAACCACCAACTCTTAATCCCCTTCACACATTCATTCAAACTAACATGCCTCTTCCCCCCACCCCACACCACCCCCTACCCCTCCTTGCCCACCCTGTCCCTTCCCTGTCCACTCAAACATCAACATAGGTTGCATGATAATAAGTATAACCTTTCAGAACAGCCATGTCTGTTCTTGCATCACATATATGATCAACCAACATTCAAGGGCTTTATCAACCACGAACTCCTTACGATCCTAGATTGGACACTATCTGATAGATCAAAAATCTTTCTAGCAATTTTCTGCCTACTAACCGTATTTGAGTCATGAAAAACATCAACCAAAATTCAAGGATTTTATCAACCATGGCCCGTTATGATTCTAGATTGGACACTAACTGATAGAAAATCTTTCTAGCAGTTTTCTGTCTCTTAACTGTATTCGAGTCATGACAAACATCAATTTTACAGTGCGTATTATAAGTTGAGATGATCTACCATAGTAATACTTTGACAAAGAAAACAAAAGATTGGAAAAATCACTATTTTCTCATCAAGAATTCATCATGTCTTATTGGTATATATGATGATGAAGAATATATATGAATATATATAGGTATAGAGATAGCTGACAAACCTAGAATAAGTGCAGCAGGAACCCATCCACCAGTTTTAGACTTATCAGCTGGGAATCCCTTGTAATCCACAGCATCTGCAACTGTCCAACTCATCTTTCTCTCCTATCACAATATTCAACCCAAAAGATTCAGATTGTAAAAAGAAAAGAAACAAAAGATCATGAATGCATCTATGTTCTGAAAATGATGGGTTTTTTCACTGTGGCCAAGGTTTAACTCTCACACCTAACATTTACCCATCCTGTTTCTAAAGAAATTTAAAAAGTACTGCATATATACTCACCATTTCCTTCAAAGGAAGTTCAACAGTGAAAAGATTCTCGAGTTGATAAAAGTGAAAAAGAGAACTGTGACAGAATCTCTCTCAAGGCTGCTATATATTATTCTCTCAATTCTCCAACTCACACTTGGATGCTTGGAATGTTCTCCCTTTTATAGGCAAAGGGCTAAGGCTTAAAGTGGCCCTCCACCACTAGCTTAAGACAGATAAACAAGACCTTGGTTGGGATTAGGCCTATCCCATTAAATTCTTGATTGATATGTAGGTGTAGTGTAGCTGGTTTACTTAGCAGATATTTTTTGCTGGGAGTTAAATATTTTTTTTATTAGTAAAGTCTGCAGGTAATAGTAGTGATGTGGTTTGTTGAAGTGGGATTTGGAAGGTGGGATTGATGAGGATTGAGGAATATGTGTTGAAGTGGGGATTGGGGGAGGTATGATTGATGAAAGATCAACTCCAATTATTGATTAGTTATGTTATGATCAAAAATCAAGTTATTAAAACCACAATATTATTATTTAGTGGGTAAGATTATTATTTAGTGGGAATTATGTATAAACGAATCATCGAATATAGACGGACTCTAACATCAAGCATATATTATTATCTTTTGAGTCGCCTTCAGTACTAGTTATAATTGATTCCAAGTATCACTGATTGGTCAGAGTCTCTTAAGGACGATTGGGTTCAAATCCAAACCCGGTTGCTGAAATTTCACATGTTTTTTTATGGGTGACGAGGGAAACTAAGAGTCACTATCCAACGGTGTGCACTGGGTAAATTGCACATTGTGAGGCTAGTTAACAAAAGATCACAATGAGATAAATCAGTCTAGATTGTTCATAGTTGATCGGCTCAAACTAATAAGGCTAATAAGTTGCTCCACTAGGAGTCAAATTTAAAATTTTGTAGTTAGCAAACCAATAATCTGACTTAACTTTCTTAGGATTGTCCAACCAATTTGACATATTCATCCATGGGGAAGTGTACCCTCAATTATTGTAAATTTGTAACCAACTTGGTTGGCGTGAGTGGTTGTACACTCTTGTCCCTTAAGAGAGGTCGAGAGTACGAACCCCCTCTCGTAGAAAAAACCAATCTGACCAGCACTTTGCGCCTTAATTGGGCCAGCCCAATGCGAACGGGGATTAGTCTAAATATGGTACGGGCTTAAAGATGCCTACTACAGTTAGGGCATGCTCATGACACCTCGTGATCTGATACAAAAATAAATATTGTAATATTCGTTATTGGCAAGATATATCATTTTTGTTTTCTCTCTTTATCATCAATTGATGTATGGTAAGGATATGCATTGGGATTATGGAGGATGTGAGCCACATTAAGGCTAGGCCTCATTCAGTCATTTGAGTCTTTAGTGCTTTTGGTACCCCACACCTATGCAGAAAGCTGCCACCTTTTGTTTTCCTCCATTGGCTCTCAATGGGCAAAATATAGCACCAAATTTAGTCCATTGATAATTGTTGATAACCAATTTTCTTCCTATTTTCCACCTCCTTTTCATCTCTTTCTCCTTTTGTCTCAAGTTTGCGGTTGTTATCATGTATCTTTATATTGCTTTTGTGGGATAGAAATACTGTAGAGATACTTACATAGCATATATTACATATTGGAAAATTTGTTTTTTTTGCCCCTTAATCATGTAATTCTAATCATTCTAATTCATCTCTTCTGATTATTGCATAGAATACACTCCTAAGTTTACCAATTTTTTTTTTTTATGATTTTTGCAACTCCAGCCACGAAATTGTGAACCTCAAGCAAAAAACAAAAAACAAAAAAAAAAAAACAAAAAACAAAAAACAAAAAACAAAAAAACAAAAAAACAAAAAAACAAAAAAACAACAAACAAAAAACAAAAAATAAAAAAACAAAAAAACATCTAGGTTTTTATCATAATTAATTTTAGGTTGACTAGGTATGAAATAAGACATAAATCACAATTGAGATTCCTAGCTACTTTGCTGAAGGATGATTATTTCAGTAAAGTTAGGGGTATATTTTGTATTGGATGACAAGAATGACATGGTGATTTAATCAACTAGAATTATATATAGTTGAAAGTGTTAAAACACAATTTTTCATATTATATATCACATGCTTTGTTCTGCTATGAACTCTTATAAATATTTAGAACAGTAGAAGTTCCTTAATTATGTGTGCTAGTGACCTAGTGTTTTTTTTTGATATATATATATATATATATATATATATATATATATATATATATAACAATGTTTGTTTGCTTCTCAAATTTTATCATGTGCCGGAATTATGTGTCTTGTGAATATGCATTCAGTTTAAATTGAATGTTCATTAGGAACAAGTCAACATTGATAGTAATATCCACATAATTATGTTTTTTTCCAAAGGCTTGGAGGGAAATTTTCTATCTTCCACATAATTATGTTTTTTTTGTTTTTGTTTGAAAGCTATTAACTCTATTGTATTTGTAATATGAGGCTCAATCTCATGACCTCTCATATAGTAGAATCACTACATGTCATCTAAGCACAAGATACTTGTCTCTTTAATTACTCGTATAATTTAATTGCACTCTTAATTGCATCCCTAATTTCACCATCTAATGGTGTACTTGTTGGTCAAATCTAATGATTGATTCATTTAAAGAGATTTTCCACTATTGATCTCCCTTTTTGACACAACCGCAATCAAGTTTTATTACTTCTAAATTTTGTGACTTTTCAAGTTTCAACTTCTCGAAAATTACCTTCATTAGTTCCTTTTAATCAAATTTAACGAAACTAGTGCACGTGTTACTTAAAAGGGCTATGATCTCAAAAAGTCCTTAGTGAATCTTTGTAATAATTATGTTGAGTACTTGGAAGAACGGGGTATAGTATGAATTGCTCCAAGACAAGTGCGGTTATTTTTTTTTATTTTTTATTTAATGATGAGAAAAACTTGAAGCCAGGTAGGTATGTATGAGATAAACTCTATTATTAAATAATATTTTGGAAATTATAGATAAAATAAATTATGTTAGGAAGAACTTATTACATGACTGGTTCAACTGAAAATGTTTTAACTAGAATTATCTCAGCGAAACGTGATGTTAACTGCAAGCAAGTATAAAAAAAATAAAGTTGCATATATATTACTAATTATAACTTTTGACTAGTATTAAAACATATTGTGTGTATTATTTAACGAATTTATGTATTGTATTATGAAATGATGTGCATATAGGACATAAATTATTTATATAAATCAGATTTGAGAAAAAGTAAAATAGAAAACATGTGTTTTTTTCAAAAAAAAAAAAAAAACATGTGTATGTATATCGTGTTATGCGTTTCTGTACATCATGTTACGAAATTCTGTACCTTAAGCATAAAGATTCTGACATGAAATTGAATAATAGTTGTATTACACAAAACATATATATTGTGTGTATTATTTAACAAATTTTATATCTTTGTATTATGAAATATTGTGCATATAGGACATAAATTATTTACATAAATCATATATGAGAATAAGTAAAATAGAAAACATGTGTATGTATCTCGTGTTATGCGTTACTATACATCATGTTACGAAATTATGTACCTTAAGCATAGAATAAATTAAAATTTGTATTTAAATATGAGAAATGAGAAGTTACGAAATCTGTTAAATCTTAAATATCAAACGACGTCGTTTTGATCCAGAGTCCACAATGCTATGTGGACCGAGGTCCACAATATAAATTGTCATCGATGATTTCCCACCGTTGAAGGATATATTATCTAAGGTACGGTGAGGTCAGCATGAATTTACAACAAAAATTAAGGAAAATTCCTTAAATGATTCGAATGGTTGTTCGGAGGAATCTGAACCAAACTTAAAGATACCTAAGTGAAGGTTAGAGAATTGAAACACTGGGCGGCACGCAGGGTATGCGAGTTGTGTGCCATCTTCTAATTGCCTGTGTTGTCATTTTCAGTAAAAATGGTTTTGCCCCAGAAAGCACTAAAGTTTTGTCCACATTTTACAATGTTTTGTTTGGATCATCAAAATGGAAATTGTTTTGTTTTTTATTCTTTATTTTTATTTTTTGAAATGGTGAATTGTAGTACTCGAGAATAATTCCTATTTATTATATTACCTATAACTATAAATTTGCCTCTTTGTGGAAGTTATCTATTGGTCTTCTTGATTTGAGTCATTCAATTATGAATAACGTAGGCTAATTTACTTCTTTGTGATCTTTCGCCGGCCAGCTATGGTCATAAAACGAGTTTTAACTAAGAACGGATCCTTTGCCAGACAGTTATGGTCATAAAATGAGTTTAACTCAAAATGGATCATTTGCCGACCTGTTATGATCATAAAATGAGTTTAACTTAGAACGCACCTCGAGATTTCTTGTAAATTAAAAAAAAAAATTAGTATGTCAACTTAATTATACCAAAAAAAAGAAAATAGAATTAGTCACACCACTATTTAGTCTAATCAACTCTAAAATGTGAAAATTTAATGAAACGTGGGTAAAAGGTATCCATATCATATTGGCAATTACTTAATTGATTAAAAGCCAAAAGAAGTTGAACCGACAGTCGCCATGGGAGAGCCAAGGCTTGGCTATTGAATGAAATGATGACAACAAAATTGTTTGCTATAAATTACTCTACACATGGAAAATGAAAAAGAAACATAATAATAATAATAATAATAATAATAATAATAATAATAATAATAATAATAATAATAATAATAATAATAATAATAATAATAATTTGGAATGTATAATTTCCTAATTTTTGTTTTGGGAAGAGTTTCAATAGTGTAGGAAACTTTGTTGGATCTGAATGGATTTGACATGTGATGGGTTGGTTGATTTGCCTATAGAGGGTAGAGTTTGGCTTTGTTGGGTAGAGCATATTGAACTTTTGTATCTATATTGAGTTTAGGAAATTTTTATTATTATTATTATTATTATTATTATTATTATTATTATTATTGTTGTTGTTGTTGTTGTAATTTGTGTTTTTTAGTCTCATATAATAAATTATTTTTATTGTTGCAATACAACATATGAAAATTTAAAAAAAATAAAAAATTTAATCACAGAAAAGTGATCAATATGTCATTGAAATTTGTTGTTCTAACCACTTTGA